CTTCAAAAATCACGATTTTTTTCTTGTCAACTACTACTATTAGTTGAAATCAATATGGAACATATATCTCTATTAGTCATATTTTATTGATAAGGGGGAAGTGTGGTCCCATACAACCTATAGCTGTCAATAATTTTTTTTCGATTTTTTTGTTATCATTTAATAGCATTTAAAAAGAGCTATCGATTGATGTATAAGCTAACTTGGCGCTCCCTTTCTTTGGCTGAAGATGACTTGTCTCTATTCTCAATTATAATGTACTTTTATTGACCTATGATCGTAAGGTATTTATAAGGCTTTGTGCAAGGAAGTCGCATCGTATCAATGTTATTTTGATATTAAAATATTTCTTTCAACTAATAGTAGTATTTGACAAGAAAAAAATCGTGATTTTTGGAGGGGGCCGTTTTTCCATCAAAACGACCCCCCTCCTTTATTAGCTGCCTTTTCATTTTTATTCTTGATTTTACGTTTGCTATATTTATAAATTGACACAACATCTTATATTTTACAAACTGAAACTACCTTTTGGTATTCTATATCCTTGTATCTCTGTGTCTTGAATAAGTGTATCTGTCGCTTTCGTCGGAAATCGAATAGATCAATTGGATAGAGATATCTTATTTATGATTTTTGAATCATTAGAATAGGATGTATATGCAATTAAGCTCTCTGATGAGATGCTTAGGCAAGGTCAAAATCATGATCTCGGTGTGCTTTGATTCTCCCCTAATAATGGTCAGCTTGCCCGAAAATGTAACAAACAATATAAGCAAATATCGATTTTTATTTTCAAAAAAGTCAATAGCCAGAAACTCTCTCTTGATGATAGTTCTCCTTTATAAATATTAAGAAGTAAGCCTATGTTTTCGAGGTTTATAGGAGGTGCCACATGTACGAGTGAATATTTTTTTTTGATTGTTGAAACTCTAACAATTCTACTTAGTTCTGGATGAAAATATATAAGTATGTTGATCTTACCAGCAGAGCATGTGTTAGATGGCTAACTCTAGATTATCAGATCGATGATAATTGGATAAGAATATGTTCTTATCACACTTTTGTTTATTTATTGAAAATCATCAGTTATATATAGGATAAATGAAAAGATATCACATAGACAAAGGAAAGCAAAAAACCAACATATGTGATAGATAGGAATAAAAAAAGTCCAAGTATATGTGATATATAGAAAACAAAAAAAGGAGAACGACAGAAAAATACCAAATCAGAGAGGGAATGAGAAGAACACATACAAGAAAAAAGCGAATAGAAATGTATGAACTAGAACCTAATAGATGTCTGTTATTTTATGATACGCTGTTGAAAACAAAAATCTTTTCTCAGTTATTTTCGAATGAATAATTTTCTAGATGGAATATTCTCACAATAACTATATACTTCATAAGAGAATATTACTTTTAAGTAATAACTTTCTGTTCGCCTTGTTTCTAATCACTTTTCGATGTCATGATTTGTACCTTACTTTTTCATTCCTCCTCAAGCAATCATCAAATGTGCGTTATTGTTCTTACTCATGTAAAAGGAAGAAAAACATCCACCACGCAGTTTAATAAGAACGAAACAGGGAGGAAAAAAAATCCCTTATGCACTTTATTATTCATATTTACCTTTTATATAACATTACTTCTGCTACTACTTGGTAACTGACATTTGAAAGAAAAAAAAAAGACAAAATGGCTAGTGTATACTCCAAAGATACCTGTTTTCTATATTCTACCCATACCACAACAAATGGATCAGTCCGTCCCTTTCAAAACATCACAAATGATTCATTATCTACTACGCTCATTTGGTTAGAGGGTAATGTGAAATGCGTACACGGTAAGATTGGAAGAGAAGAAAAATTCTTAGCTGGTTATACACTGAAGATCTTCAATGATCCCGATGACTGTATTGATTATTTAACTGACATTGACGACGACAATCAAAAGGTGATTTTCATCATTGCTAACTCCTATGGATGTTGTATAATTCCCGTAATTGGTAATCTTATACAAATAGAAGCAATCTATGTCTTCTGTTGTGACACAACAGATGCAGATGAAGAATGGATGAAAGATTGCCAGAAGGTTAGTCTGTTTGTTTACATTCGAGGCTTCAAAATTAGTGTAAAAGAGAATTGTAGTTTTCGTGGTAATAGAGATTTGACACATGGTTCATTCTTATTTACTAAAAGGTGATCGTTCTATATATAGTGATTTTTTTAATGCATATTTTGAATCTATGAAAAGAACTAAGCCTAGGAAAAAAGTCTAACGAGGGAACACTCCCAGGTGAAGCTCCGCTTTTGATGTGATATTTTGCCCATATGTAGGCCTTAGTGAGACTAGAAAAACGTCAAAAGAGTTTTGGTTTCTATGGCTTCCTTGTTGAGATATGAAGTTCACATCTTCTCTAACAGTGCTACGATTTATGTTGGAATACGATATAATGTCGATTTTTTCACAACGATATGAAACACAGACTTACAATTTTTTTTTGCGTGAACTGCATTTTATAGTGGCCATATGTGACACACTTTTTTAGCTCTAGCAAAGATTTCGAAGGTCAACTCTATTTTTTTCATAAGTTCCTGCATGTGCAGTACAGTCTTATTGAGTATATGCTGAAATCCTTATGTATCATGAACAAATGTGAACACTAACATAAAGTCAACGTAAGGAATGCAACCAGAACAACTGAGCTTTGACAATATGATGAATTAGTCCATGTGATACTCAAGGAAAGAATGTTCAAAACATAACTCTTTGGACACTAACTACACTTGATAAAAGCTGAGTTGTCGCAATTTTCCTCTTCGCAGACAGACTTTTCCAGACTGAAGTAAATATCTTTGACTGTAAAAAAAGTAGCCAGGATCAGCTATGAAATAGCCGCTCGCGTACCAAGCATAACTAATCCGTATGAGAGAATAAAGTCAATACTGCCCCTTATTAAATTAAGCATATGTTCATACATGACTTGTCTAAAGAAACTAAACTACATTTTGGAAGCTCTCCTTCATGCAAGCTAGTGTCAGGCAAGGAAGCTTAATATACGTGGTTAGGAGTCTTTGTCAGAGCTAAAAAAGTGTGTCACATATGGCCACTATAAAATGCAGTTCACGCAAAAAAAAACTGTAAGTCTATATTTCATATCATTGTGAAAAAATTGACATTGCATCGTATTCCAATATAAATCATAGTACTGTTAGAGAAGATGTGAACTTCATATCTCAACAAGGAAGCCATAGAAACCCAAACTCTTTTGACGTTTTTCTAGTCTCACTAAGACCTACATATGGGCAAAATATCACGTCAAAAGCGAAACTTCACCTGGGGGTGTTCCCTCGTAAGCGGGTTTGGTCGAAAAAGGATGGAGTTACATGTATTTTGCTGTTCCTTGGCATCCCACAATTGGCTTTAAAAAAACAACCAAGGAAAAGTGGCGAAAAACGTCATTTTTCAAATAATCGCTTACTGAAAAATTTATTTTACATTGAAAAATTTTAGCAAATACGTTCGCTAATGGAGTTTTTCATGTTCTTGCATATGAGATTGAGCACGAAATTTTCCTAGACTTAGTTGTTTTCATAGATTGAGAATGTGCAATAATAAGTATAGATCAAATTTTCTCATGTTTTGACGATACTAGATGCTCTTAAAAAAAGGCATCAAACGCCTTTGTTTCTCAAGTAGTATTCCAAAACAAAATTTCAAACTGCAACTATACTTTAGGTCAAGGGAATCTTCGACAAGTCAGAAGATTTAATCAATGCACTCTTCATTGATCGACGAGCATGTGAACATATCGAGAACGATATAATTCCTATAAATGTTTATAGCACAGAAAAAAATGATTATGGATTTGAAGAAAGAAATGCAAAGAATGCAATATTCATGTTCTTTCAACTTTTCATTGATATTCTTCACAATACACAATCTGATAATGCACAATCATTATCCGCAAAACAAGATTTTATCAATCATTTCAAAACTATCTTTCGAGGAAATTCAGATGAAGAATGTCTAATAGATGAATTTGAAAAGGATTATCATCCTCAAATGGCTATTAAATGGTATACTCGTCCAACATTTCTCTTTCGAACATTAAACAAAGCACTTCGAGAGTCAGACTTCGAAATTCTATTCGCTTTACGATTTTTCATTGTCGATTTGCATCAACAACTAACGATTGAACATAAAAAATATCTCGAATCATATAAGTCAAATGATCCTATTCTTCAAGTTTATCGTGGCCAAAACATCGATGTGAAAGAACTAAACTACATTTGTCAAAATATCGGACAATTTCTTTCAATGCAAAGTTTTATTAGTACAAGTACTAGTCGACAAGTTGGTCTTCTCTATGTACAAGGAAGTGCACCTCTTACGACTGATAGAACTCGTATTCTCTTTCAGTTCAATATTGATACTCATCTATTGAATACAAAACCCTATGCTAATATTCGACATTTATCATTTTTCATAGATGAAGAAGAAGTATTGATAATGTTAGGTAGTATATTCAGAATTGAACAAGTGGAATATGATCAAAGTGAACAAATTTGGATTGCTACCTTGAGTCTTTGTAGCGAAGATGATTTTGAGTTAAAGGATTTGATGAAACAAGTGAAGAACGAAGTTGGAATGCAGATTACATCGTTAGGTTATCTCTTAGTCAAACAAGGGAAATATCCCCAAGCAAGAAGTTATTTTCAACATCTTTTACTAAATAAATCGCTATCAGAACATGATCAACTAGGATGCTATTATGGCCTTGCTGCAGTTGCTAAGCGGCTTAAAGAATATGATAAAACTCTAGTGCAAACTCAAAATATGCTTAGATACTACGTCAAATATAATGACCAACTGTCTATCGCAAGAACTTTCGTCTTGATTGGTGAAATTCTATGGCGTAAACAAGAATTTGACTTGGCACAGTTCTATGAAGAAAAATCACTTGAAATTCTACTACCAAATAACGATCCAAACATGTCAAGTGCTTATCTGATAATGGCCTCTATTCATGGTGATAGAAATGAATTTGACTTATCTCTGAAAAACTTGGAGAAAGCATTTGAAATATATCGTCAAAATTTGCCAAACAATCACGTTGAATTTGGTGTTCTGTATGAGACCATTGGTGTGACATACGATCGCATGAAAGATTATAATAGTGCTCTAGAAAATTTTGTTAAAGCAAATGCAATCTATCAGATTGCTTTGCCTCCAAATCATCCAAGAAGTTTACATTTAAAGAAAAATATTCAAATGGTCAAATTTAAAGTTAAAGCAGCTCAATATTCGTGTTTCTTGTAATTTTTATACTATCATTGCAGATAAATTTCTTCACTATTTTTCGATATTATTATCGTAGCTCTAAAGTAATGCAGCGATTCTCACATCTAAAGACACGATAGAAGAGTAAATTCACATGAAACATATCACGTTATAAAAAAAAACATCGGCGCCAGTTGTGAAAAACAGATTTATTGATGCTGTTTCACACGTTGAATCCAATGGCAAAACCCTAGGTTACTATCTAGCGTGCTGAAAAAGTTATAGGCAAAATGTTTCCCCAGCTAATTACAGCTGT